TCCTGAAGACCCCATACACTTTTGGAAATGGAACTTAGGTCTTGCATTACTTTGTGATTTTACAAATGTTATCTCGGGAAAAGATGCACTTAAAATATGAGATAGATACTTTTAATTTAATGGCCTGGTCATCTGCATGTGCTCTGTTTTTCATCTAAAAGTACTTCACTAAATTTCCTTCAAGTGAGAAAAACCTACGTTTGAAATCCTGGCTTCCAGAGGCATGGAGGAGGAGGTGATTCCTGATTAAGATGAGACAAAGCAGGATCTCCTGAGCGAAGGGAAGGAGCTCTGTTGTACGTTTCAGAGTGTGAAGCTCTGTTTCCTGTTTTGCTACGTGGGACGTGGTTGTCCTAACGCACATGTTCCACTCCCCTTGCCCAGCTATTGTCTTCTCCATCTGAAACACCATCCCTTTGTTACAGTTCCTTGGGTATATGTGATTCTGAGTGGAGACTGGTTTCTGTTAGCAGAGTCTTTTTTCCTCTTCAAAAGCAAGAAACGAGAAGGTAGATAATATTAAAAACTATGGGGAAACTGTTTTTTTCAAGGAGTATGTAGTTTACAAAGTTGGGGTAAATGAAGGGCTTGCTGCTGGTGGCTTCCAGAGAACAGAAGAGTCCAAGGCTGCTGCTGAAATTTGGACTCAAGGGATGTCTGATGATCTTTCCACAATGCTTTTGGTGTGAGAGGCTGAAAATTTCTGTGCCCTTGAAAGTGATGGACTCACAGGATTAACCTGGGCCAAAGACAGTGAAAGCAGAAGCTATTCAGGAACTCCCCCCACCACCACACACATATTTGTCAAGAAACCTCAGTCATGACCTGTAACAGTGTTGGTATCCCACTCTTGTGGTGCTTGCCTAAACACTGTCAGTCACACATAAATTCTGTGCTGGTTTTCTGTCCTGTGGATAAATACCATTCAGGGTTAGGTTGGGACCACCAAACTCTGAGTCCCTGTCCACACTTAGGAAACCTTAGAACTGCAGCCTATTCCTGTGCCACCACCTACCACACCACAGTTGACTGAAACGTTTCTCCACCTCATAACCAATGGCTCCAGTTCCCCTTGTCATGCACAGGCTCAGAAGTAACTCTTCCTGGGGAGACAGGTTTCCCAAGAAAATTAAAGTAAATCCCTGTTGTTGAAAAACTTTGGAGGGCAAGGACTATGTTTCTGTTCAGTGCTGTGATTGACCAGCAAAGTCAAGGGGTAAGTGTTCATGTTGCATTGGTCCCACTGAATAAAAATCACAATAAGCCATTCCGTGCACTGGCAGCAAATATCTAATGGTTTGGTCTTCCCTCTGACTGCGGCCTGGCTGAGCTTCCGGAGGCTCTTACTCGTCTCTTTGACAGTAGCCAGGAGAACTGATGTCCTACAGGTTTTCAGGTCTTACAGTCAGACCTGGGTTTTGGTGTTTCTTGCAGGTGGCTTGTGCTGATGGGTTTGATATCCATTGTTGTTATCTGTGAGCTGTTTGCTCAGGAAAAAAATATGTAATCCACTTGAAAGTCGGTAACTTTACAGCAATTCTCAGAGCACCTCAAAAGCCAGTCTTGTTACATTTAAGGACTTTCTAGTTAGTACCGGTCAGCAGACGCGATAGTTTTCAAGGGAACTGGCGTAACTGTGTCTTTTCTTATAAAAGCCTTGAGCATTGAGACTGTGGATTGTAAAATGAAGGTTGCGTTTGTCACATTACAAGGTGTAAGAAGCTACAGAGACCTCAAGACGCACCATCTAGTTTTCTGTGTTGAAAACCACCCAAGTGTTTCTGTGGGAGAGCAGGTACTGTGCTAGGGTACAGTGAGATCCGCGAGGCACTAAACACATGAAATAAAGCAGAGACACAGATTTGTATCTGATACGCTATTTTTACTTTAGCACAATTAACTTGAGCAAATGTCTGCATTAGGAGGCAGGTTCCCCACAAGTGCTCAGCGCTGCTCCAGAGGAGACCGAGGCACGGGGCGGTGTGTGACTCCCGGCCAAACTTCGTCTTCAATACTTACAGGATTTCCCATAGCGGATCTTGCTTTAATCAAATAATTCAATCGTTTCTCTTCTAAGTACAATAGAAGGGCAGGGCTTGTGTTTACAAAGTGTTCGGCGTGGAAATCCTGTATGAATGGAGACACGTCTGCCCCGCTCCCGGCAGCACCGCAGAGCAGCTCTGTAAGGAAAAGGGCTGTTGCTGTTGCGGGTTCCACGCAAAGGAAACCCCTCATTTGCAGAAGATGGCGAGGAAATGGCCTGAGAGAGGTGCAGTGCCGTCAGGAGAGCTGCTCCTGGCTACAGACCACAGCTTTATGGATGATTTTCTCACAGTGGATGTAAAAGAATAGAATTTATAAAGAAGTATTTTATACCTATGGAACTAGTGAATAAAGAGGCAGTGTCTCTGGCCGTCTGTCTCCGCAATGACCGGCACGGGCAATCCCACCTCTTGTCTTTTTGTCACACGGCGGATGTATATAAGCTGTGCTTTGAATTATTATCTTTCTGTATTTCCTGTGAGTAAACACACGCAGCCGAGTGCAGGATCTGCAGTTCTGGTTACGAAGAGTAGAGCATGTAGAGTTTCACATGAAGGGTGCATAAAAAGGAAAGCTGTTATTATTTCTCAGTGATAATGTTATTACTCGGGAATAGGGGACTAGAATTGCGCTTCTCTGAGTTCCTTATTTTGCTGTGCCAGAACCAAAATAAGCCACATACAGAAGAATTAAAGAGATAATCAGCAGTTCCCTCCCCAATGAGCTGGGAATTACATGTTGCTTCTATATTCTGTACAGTGCAATCTTTTTTTTCCTTTTTTTTCTTGAATTATAATTCTGCTATAGTTGAAAAGATAATTTTGCCAGTGTATTAAATACCTGGCAGAAAAAGGCAGTTTAGAACATTTTTAGGTAAATGTAGGTCAACACAAAGGAATCATACAGTTGGAAATATTTTCCAGTGTTTATGTTCAGATGTTCAGACCTGTCTGGCTCCTCTCTATTTGCATGTGTTGGGGTTACAGGCAGTCCGGCTACATTCCACATTGATTTATATAAATATATTGCAGATTATTAACCTCCAGCCAAATACCAGCAAATTTTACTTTTGAGGAAGGTTTGTGACTTCTCGCAGAACTGATTTCCCGTGTAGAGGACATCTGTCTCCCGTGTGCGCCTCGTGAGGGGAGTCACAGAGAGAAATACATTTGTCTTTAGGAGAAACACGCTGAGACATGTGCTGTTACAGTCCCTGTGTTACCATGATAATTTAATTGGTATTTGTTCATATGATGTTTACAGATTGAGTGCAGATGAGTGTCCTAGTAGAGGCAGGGTGACAGTCTCTCCATAATCTCTAACTAGGATTCCCAAATCGTTACTCACGGAAAGGCTTCTTTAAGCTAGAAGGGATGTGCCTGCCTCCATTTCCACAGCATGGTGGCTAATTAGCAATTTGTAAGTGTCTGCCCAAGCATTATTTGGGCAAGGCTGTCAAAGTGGGACCACAGCCTTAACGTGTTAGATCTGCATCACCTGGAGTGAAACATACTCCTCTCCTAAACCTGGGTTACAGTCTTACCAGACCCTTGTGCCGGTTCTTATCTACCCTTCGCTTGTGAAATGCTTTGAGATTTAAGGCAAGAAGGAAAAACTGAGAACAAAGTGTTTTCCTGGTCTGTTTGTCAGGTGTCTCTTCGGAAAGCAGTGACCCCGAGGCTTTGTGCCTGGTCTGCTGCCCACGGGTCCTGCCAAGAGAGACATTTCTCCATGCCGCTGTCGGGGATCCTGCCTGGGCACACAGTGATTCTAAGGAAGAGGGTGAAATATACATGGAATAAAGGAACTGCCGCGTTGTTGGCCAACATAAGCAGTATTATCAACGCTGCTTGGGTTTGTTATTTGTGACAGGTTCTTCAGTTTAGCTGTATTGACTTTTCTCAATAGCTGTATTCAGTTTTTAAATCCACTGTCACCTAATAAAAGTAGTGATTGATTTTCTGCCTCGCTTCAGAGGGAAAAGCAGTCTGATCTCTGCAGTTTAAAACTAACTAAATAAACATATTAGTAAAGTATGTGAGCAGGGAAGAGCATCCGTTCATTGTGGTTCTGTAGAGGTGGGACTCGAGGAAGGACAGTGACAGTCACCAGTACGGGCAGGGGGTGAGGCACTGGGGGGTGGGCAGGCGTTTGGGAAGAAGGTAAAGCTGGTGTGAAGTGGCAGATGAAGCGAGAGAAATCCTAATTAAAAAGAGAAAACAATAGCAACTAGAGTAATCGGACAGGAATGTGACATTATGAAGAGCTTTGCAAATTACTTTGAATTTGATGTTGTGCAACAAGGGGAAATGATAAAGACATTTCAGTAAAAGAGTGCCAGAAAGCAGTGGCAGAGGAAAGCCTCTCTGCAGCGCTGTCTTGTGCACAAAGCTTTTTTCCGGAGTGCATCCTGACTCTCAAGGTATTCCTTGCATCCAGGAACTTGCAGGAGTAATCAGCAAAAACAATTCTGTTTCTGCCTAAGGAGGTTTAATTTCAAAGGTGTGTAACGGTGAACATGGGGGTTCTGTGGGAAGAAACTGAAGGTGCATGCAAACACCCGGGATATTTTTTCTCAAAAATGTTTCTCACAATTATTTTTTTTAAATGTCTGTAAGTGCTGCAGCACAGAATGTGGATAAATATCAGGCCATTTTCTGTATTAACTCTAGTTGCTCGGTCCAAAAAATATTTTCTTGTAATTATTTTACATTGAACAGCTGATGAATTTGTAATACTTAATCCTATTTCAGAATCCACCCATGAAGGAGAGATATACTATTGATGTACCAGTAGTTATCTGATGAATCAAGAGCTCAAAGATCTCTCTACCTTTGAGAGCTCTTTTTTCCACCCTGTATACTGTAAGAGGTGTAACTAGACATGCAGGAGATGTCAGGTGTGTGTGTCTGTGCTGGTTCCTGTGCACTCACCTCCTCTCCTCTCTCCCTCCCCAGGCTGTTTGATGTGTGCACCGTGTCCCGGACCGACAGAGAGACCAAGCTAACGTTAGTGTTTGAACACGTGGATCAAGACTTGACGACTTACTTGGACAAAGTTCCAGAGCCTGGAGTGCCTACTGAAACTATAAAGGTATATAAGGAGAAAGATGTTGGATATTATTTCAGAAAATATTAGCTAGAAAGGGCAAAGAGATAAATGACACAGACAAACTGTTTTGATCCCATGGGATTTTGTTATACCGAGTAATGCCCGACTTGAGAAATGAGTCGCAGCACAGAGACCTGTGTTCACCAAGAGGCGCAATTGCTTTGTGGAAATCTTGCACTTCTTGTTGGGTTTTTTTTCCTCTTTTAGATTTATAAATCCTCTGAATCTGTACTGTTTTACCAAAAGTAGCATTCCAAATCATTAAGAATGACCTTCACTTGCAGCTGTAGGCAGATGATTCCATTATTGTTTAGTCAAGGACTACTTGAGCCTTCCCTAGGTGTCTGGTGGAGCGCTGGGTAGAACAAATCCTGTGCTCCCATCCTCTTCCCTTGGCCTTTTGTTTCCCCAAAAGATGCCTTTGTTTCATGTCCCTCCTGCCAGGAAGGTTTCTATGAGTTCCAAGAACAGGAGGTGTTCCCCGTGGGCTGTGGTGAGCTCTACAGAGGATGGCTGGAGGAGGAGGGTAGCCATGGCCAGGTGCAGGAGCTGGGAAGGCTCTCAGTGACTGGAGATATGGTTCTGATGTTTTCCCACCATGTTATCTCCTGTTCTGCGTCAGTAAGGGACAGCCTCATCCTGGGACAGGACGTGCTTGTGTTATTGCTGCTGAAACCCCTGGACCTGGGGGTGCCACAGCCGGGGCTGCCCTGAGGAACGTGGCTTGAGCTGCTTGGCCGAGCGTCTGTGCCGGGGAAGAGAGTTTGACATCCCTGCATTTTGACTGTGGCTTTAACACTTCTTTTGATTTTTCTTTTTTCATGAGGAGAAATAATTTATGCTTTCAGAGGCGGATTATCTGGCATTTGTGTAAGCACTTTCTGGAAGTGTGTTGTGTCCTCTTAGTCTGGCAACAGTCCTGAGGGAGGGAAAGAGAATATGAAAGCCCTCTGAAATTTAGTTGTTTCAATTTATTTTTTTTTGTTAACAGCTTCAAACTTTGGAGTTCTTTGATCTTTCAGTATAAAATTAGACATAAAACTGATAAAAATCTTTAAACTAGTATCAAAGTCACAAATGTATAACATCAGTCAATTCCAGCACCCCTGTTTTTTAGCAACCTTAGCAGATAAAATAAAATCTAAAAAAAATTGGGTACAGCTTTGATTCAGTCCCAGCAGAAGACTGGAATGTACCTCTTGCATTTGAAGGACTCATTTATGATAATGCTTTTAGGGTCCTAATGCCTTCCAGGACTTTGGTACTACCTAAGGGGGCTGTGTTTCAGTGTAACTAACACTGTGACCATAACACGCAAAGCAGCCGGCACATTATCTCACTGAATGTATGGAAATGGACGGGAAGGGAATGACTCTGAAACCTCAGTGTGAAATATCTTTCGAACTGTTTCATTTAAAGCTAATGAAAGAGGTGAGCTCTGAACTGAAATGTTTGGGATTTTCTAAAAGCCTGGTTAAATTTGCAGTCCCAGACGGTGTGTGAGCACAGATTTCGCGGGGGCTACCTGCTGGTGGAGGGAATTGTTGAGTTTGCTCTCAATAAGCACTATTCTGCACACAAGGTTTACTAGTTCTACCCACCTGACATGTCTGATAATTCGGCACAATAAAAGAGAAAAATTTAGCTACACAGAAAGAAGCAGGAGCAATTCTGGTCTTTTCTGTACAGTGCAGGTCCCACTGCAGCCAGTGAAATTGCCAAGTGTAAAATTCAGCTTGTGGTACAGACAGCCCTTTTTAAATGGGTGAGGAAAAATGTAAAATGGCTGTTTTCTTGGTTGTTGCTGTTGATTTCAACATTTGCCCAGTAGCTGATGTGTTATTTCTTGAGTTCTGTTTGGCATAGGAAAAAAGAGAGATTCGGTTAACTGAAGTTGCATCCCGTTGCTTCACTATTTATGTGAAAACACCCAGTTCATGGAGGTGCTTTTGCTGGTAGTCAGGGCCAATCCCGTGAGGAAGGGTCTCAAGGCTTATTCCTAATGCACGTTGAATATTCCTAATGCACATCGACACCTCGCTGCTGCCATAGCCCGTGTGGGTGCTCCTGGCAGGATCCGAAGCAGAGCACAGTTCTCCCGGCTGCAGGGAAATACTGCCATTGTGCAGCAACTGAGCATGTAACCCGCAGCACAGACGTTGTTAAATGACTAATCTGGATTGTTATAGTTTAGCGTTTGAGGTTAATATGGATTTGTACTTCATTTCTTTTCCAGAGTAGCGGACAATTTGTGTAGAGTATTTCCCCTCCCACTAGCACAGCCCAAGCCCTGCCAGCACCGTGAGCCCAGCTGCAGTTCCGCCTGTGGCAGCAGCATCAGGTCCCAAACAGGCTCTGTGAGCTCTGGAGAGCTTGGGCATGAAAGGTCTAATACACCCCTTTGGCACCATGGTGTAAACTCAACTCTTGTTAGTGGAACTGGAATGACATAAAGTTACTGTGAGAGAAGTATCGGCCTCAAAAGATGGTTGCCGTGTGAGTTAGCTACCCTCATTACACGATGGTCATTTGGGGGAGGGAGATTCAGCTTTTGCTGGTTTGGGGCATTCTGGGGCTTTTACTTACCAACTCTCAAGGAATATAAGCCACACCAGTCCCATTTTAAGAATTTCCTTTATGTTTAGCAGACAGTAGTCAGCCTGTAGCAGTTCAGAGAAACCATCCGTGCTGATCACTGAGCTTTTGTCTCAGTGCTGCTCAGCAACGCCTCTTTCTCATCTGAAGCCCGGTGGCAGGAGTCACCCCAGTGGGTACTTTAGGAACACATCCACAGGTGCCCGTAAAATAGAAGAGAGATGGTTTGCCTTTGAGGCATTGCCTGGCAGTGGGAATATTCTCCAGGATGCACAGCAGACATGCTCACTTCCCCCTGCTGTTGCTGAGAGGATGAATGCTGCAGTCCATTTCTGTGGCTATAGCTCTGGCTACTGAGTTCTGGGTTATTCTGGACAGAGATATTGTAAATCTTTTCTGCTGAAGCACTTCCATTATTTTTTAATGGAATATACTTTGGCCTAGAGGGATGGAGAATATGACTCCGAGTTCTCATGGGCATGGCATTCACCTTTGAAAGAGAACTATGTTCAAGCCCTTAATCTAGTTAATATGTCTCTGTAACTACTGGGTAATAGTCCTACTCACCCTTGCTGGCTTCCTCTGATTAATACATGTTCCATGCGGGATGAATCAGAACCAGCAATGACAACATCTTCCTTCTTTCCTCTCTACCCGTCATGTCCTCCCGTCTTTTCTTCCTGGGATGCTCTGTAACTTCGGGGCAGTGTGTGTGGAAATGGGAGGTGGGAGCTTGGCTTCCGTAGGACACTGCTGGGAGTCGGGCACACGCTGCTGGTGATGCTCATGGCATCCGCAGTTGGGCATCCGAGAGACCTGGCTCATTGGGAACTTCTGTGGGCTGACGTGAGGGCAGTGGAAATGGGAATGACCCGGCTCTGCCACAGAAAGAGTTTTGTTTAAAAAATAGTTAACAGGCCACTAAGGCATTTTGATGTGTTAGTGCTTGGGGCTGAGGCATGTTTACGCTGGGTGGTCGCACTGTGATGCGATGCTTGTGGGGCTGGCATGGATTTTTTGATCCTACAGTATTTCTATACGGATGTGGCTGTTAGAGCACTAATTACATTTTTAATATGGAAATCATGTGTCTGCAAAAAAGTTGCTGTTTGTTGATTTAAGCTGTTGCAATGTACATAAAGGTATTTAGCTTTGAATTAATACGTGCATGTGGTGGCTTAGTACACAAAGCTGTAAATTCAGTGGATTAGGAGTGGCTCTTCGGCGTTCCCTCCAGTCACCTTGTTCTGCGGGGCCCAGGAGCCCGTAAGAACGGGAGGGGACAACAAACTGTTGCCCGGTGCATTTCCTGTAACTTACAACAGCTGCTGTGGAACCAGGCAAACCCCTCACCTCTGGGCAAAACTCTTAGCAAATTAATATGAAGATGCTGCTTCTCAGAAAGCCAAGCAGCGCCGAGTGTGGTGAGGTGAGTCACCAGCCATCTGCCAGGGTGTACCTGCTCAGCCCATCACCTGTGGGAAGCAGAGCAGATGTCACACAGTCACGCAGTTCTGAAAACAACACCAGATATTCCAGGAAAACGGATTGAGCAGTACTGAGAGACTGCAGAGTGTGGCCACATTTAACAACATCAAAGTTAGAAGTCACTAAAAAAAGAGCCTACTCAAATTAATAAGAAAGATGTTAAGAGAAGAACTGTTACTAACATTTTCCTGTTGGTGCTTTTGTGGTAAAGAAAGAGGCAAAACTTAATGAGGAGTTTCGGGTCCCCAAATAAGAGATCAGATCCCCAGCCAACACCAAGAGGTGGAGGTCCCTCACCCCCAGTGAAGGCATGCCCATCCACAGCTGCTCAGGATCTCATTCTTTGTGGAGTATCTTGCAATACATTTTGTTCTGAATCCATATTATGAAATAGGAAAGAGTTGCGGCTATAAATAAATGACAAACCAAAGGACTGAACTGATCCGTTATTGTGGGATGAATCTTTTCCCATTTCCTCTGTCACCCCGCTCCCCGGGGAGGCGGAAGGGCAGCAGGAGGGAGAGCGGGTGCCCTGCACGAGTGGCAGCTCCAGAGGAACTAACCTTAGAAAAAGGGTATTCTCCAGAGGGAGGGGGTTCCCTCTGTTGCAGGTGGTGTCATTTCTCTCCTGGGCTGTGCTGCCTCTGGGGACACGGCCACCTCTCTGTGCACGCTGGTGCAGGTACGGTCTGACTCAGGGGCTGGAGGGATCGTGGCTCCAGGGAAGGGACCGCAAACACAGGGTGCCACTAAATACAGTGCTGTGTCTGTGCAGTCACTGCTTTAGCTCAGGCCTTCTTGCAGTCAGTGTGCAGCCACTGATTTTAATTATGGTGGCATTAAATATCTCCAAATCCCTACTATTTCCAAACCCAAATGCAAACGTTTTCAAACTGATG